CCCCGCCGCAGAGAAGCCACACCCATGACAACCCCACCACACCGCCAGCGACCCCCCGGAACCCAGCAGCCACCCCGGCCAGCGGGCCACCCACTGGAACCARGAGCCACACCTCAGGAGACCAAGCAGCACCAGGGAGGATGCAAAGAAGGATTTTACATAAAATCAAGAACATTGTGGACAACCCTGMCCATCCTCTTCATCAGACTGTCAYAGGAAGACAAAGTGTCTTCAGTCGGAGGCTTCTTCAATTTCCTTGTCATACAGACCGCTGCTGAAGATCTTTCCTGTCCACAGCCATCAGCATCTACAATAACTCTTTATATAAATGAGTTACAATAACACCTAATTTCCCTCTGGGATCAATAAAGTATTTTTGAATTTGAATTGAACTGAATAATTTCAGTGACATTTGTGTGTAGAACTATGCCGTCTGATTATTGAGAGACTGCTGTTTCTGAATACTTTTGGGTTTATTTTTTTATTTATGTTGATATACGAACCGGAACCCTTCCCAGGTGCTGTTTTGATGTGCTGGCACCATCACCTGACGCTCTACCAGCTGAACCACAAGATCAACAACCTAACATGGTAGCAATGGCTATATAGTTGTTAAAAGTCAGTAATGTAAATTTGTTAATTTTCTGTGGTTCAGATGAGTGAAGTGACAAAGTGGATGCAGCTTTCAGCCCGTAAAAAACCCAGGAGAGACAGATGTCCTCTGCATTGTCCAACACCTGGACACCCAGGTGGGTGGATGAGGAGGTGGCTATAGTTAAACTGTCTGAAGAAGCGAGCCAAGCAGCAAGATGAGGAGAAACTGGTCCTCAATCATACAGCTGCTCAGTAAAGTTTAATTTCTATGTAAAATTCTGTTTTTGCATCTTTACAGCTTTAAAGAGTCAGGTTAGAGCTGATGAAGTCAAGCACCACTTACAGATATATTTAAACTCTTAACATTTTTTAATTTGTTCATTTTATTGTTCACCCAGAGGTTTTCATATCCTGTGTGATGGTTTTACTTTAATAATAATAATAANATCCAGATACATCATGCACCCCAGATAGAGTGAATTTAATTGTGGTTGGATGAGAAGTATAAATATACCATTTGTACAATCTATTAGACCTAAACATGACAGTCATCACATCACACTCCAGGACATAGCAGACGTACTGTATGCAGCTTAGTATGAACAGAGATATATTAAATTGAAATGACGCTGCAACCACAAAAGGGGCAATAAATTGCACTATTCACCCTCCAGTAGAGTCTTCCTGGTTGTAGACAAAAGAACCACTTGTCCCCTCAGATTTCTTTGTTTTAGTTCCTCTCAAATTTATAAAATTTTGTGTTTTTGTTTTCCCAATTCTTCTTAAAGGCAGCGAAAGTGGCACACAAATAAAGCA